CTCTATGTTTAACTTGTCTGCAAAGTCGTCTGCAAAGTATACCGTCCCTGGAGGAAGACCCCAGGTGCCCCTCCGGGCATTATTTCAGGCACGAGCGGGCACCCGGGTAGAACCACCGACCTTCCGTAAGCCAGCTCTTCAACCAAAAATCCGGGCCCTTTTATACCCAGACAAATCCCAACCAAAATAAAGTGGTTGAAGTGGTTGGTTTACTAAAGTGGTTGTGGTTGGAGCCAAAAAGTGGTTGGTCCGACCAAGAAATATTGGTTGATTTACCAAAACGGTTAGAAATTTAAACATAGACTCTTAGACCTATAAAATAATAAAAATGGACATAGAACATTTTGTTTACACATATTATGGCATTTTCTTAAACAAGTTATACCTTTTCAATGTAGAAAATACACAAAAATCCGATCGCAGAATTTCGTCAATAAATTAGCTGTAGCCGGTCGTCCCTAGTAACGTACCGGAAACAGTTCAAAATGGCATATTCAAGTGAAAGTGGAAGCACGTTTTTTCTAAGAAAACGGATCATAACTACAATAATACATGGAATTAAACATTGTTACTTCATCAATACTTGGCAAAACAGTGACTTATATATAATTATTAAACAATAACAATAGGATTTATAATCACAGGTAACAAGTGAAAGTGACAATTTCCCTCAGAAGTTAGATTGAGCTGCACATCGTGAAAATGGAGGATAAACAAGGAAAACATGTTGGATAAAATAGGATAGATTAAATCTGGCTCATAACCCGTATCCATGGGTTGGTGTTTTGATTTCTAGTAAAACACAGCTCATTATAAGTTTTATGGCTAGAAAATGTCAACATATCCTCACTATTAAAGATTAGAAGAAAAATAACTTCTCAAGTTCAAGTCAATTAAGGTAAAGAGTTGAGTTCATGCAGTTCAGTTATGTTACAGTTATAGTTGAAAATTTCAGATCACTACAATATCAGACGTCAATTTACGGTTTGTTTCTTTATATTACAAAAAGGTACAAACTCGGAAAGACGTGACATATGCTTCACTTTAAGGATACCCGATAGTTTCTAGCATTACTAGCGGGACCAACATTTTCAATACATAAATCATCGCCATTTATAAATCAATTAGATATCTCACTTTTTCTCAGCGCTAATCTTTACCTGCAAAAGAAATGTCAAAAAATATTCAAGAACATTGATCTTATTAAGAAAAGAAATATTAAAGGGAATACGTTATTATTTTTCAATATTTCACATACAACGCTATATTGTATTTCGGATGAATGATATAATATAATGATCATTACGCGGGTTTCAATGTGCAATTTGTTTTCAGAATTTTGAGGATGTTCTTAAAATACCTTGTCACATAAACCAAATTTATTATTTTACTTAGATCAAAAAACTCTTTTAAAGTATAGTGTCATATTACTTAAATCATAACATTAGAGATATAAGATTGATCTACACAAATTAATAACATTTCGTATAGTAAAGAATCATTGTAACGCAATTATTATTAAGTGTGTGTATATCAACGATATTTGCAAATAACGGGTACGAATGAATTTGAGAGCGAACTCTTGTATGACCCGGATTCCACATGCCTTCATAATGGCGTAGCTAAATCAAACAAAAAAAATGATTTAAAATCTTAAAATACCAGACGGCATAGTTTTTATCTTCTTGATGGATAATTAACGCGCGATATTTTACAAAGTATGTATGTAGAGTGTATCTTAATATTTTAAGGATAAGTAAATGCACAGTTCACAAATAATTAACGCACTTTCGATTTTGAAATGTGTGCATGTATTTGAACATTTTAGATACACTTTGAAGTCTTATGATACGTAATGTATAAACCTTTTACAAAATATTTTGAAAGATATGTAGTTGTGTGTTTGATTTTTAAACTTATTTATAAACCAAGAAAATATATCGTGTATCATGTATCGTGCTCATTCTCTTCTACCACGCTGTTAAACTAGCCTATGTAACAGAGAACTTCATGTTTTTAGTCGTTAACGAATTGTTTACAAACCGAAAATTGAAATATGGATACGATATAAGTACCAGTATTACTTTTGGTATTTTATCAACACATGTACGTGCTTTAGTCAGTCATTATTATCATCTGTAACGCATCTTATCAACTCTTGACATTACATGATAGTTGCATAATCTAATACAAATAATGTCTCAAAAGATAGATGAAGTTCTGACTACGTGGCCGGGAAGTTAATAATGAGCCAAAGGTTGATAAGGAAAGCCGTTCGTGCTATATTAAATCAATTTATTTCACGCGAACACAAATTATATACAAGCATAAGATTTAATATGGAAACTCGTAATTTTATGGAAGCGTTGCCTACGTTAGTGACTATACCTGGATTTATTAGGTTGGCATCATAAATCACTAGAATGAATAAATGAATGCATATACGGCAATGACACATTTCAAAGAAAGCAAGATACTCGGTTATCTCAAATCAACATCGTAGTGACTCAAGCAGGTCTCAAGTAGGGCTCGAACCCACGATCCATGTTTTAAAACCACAGGTTCAAATTCTCGACTTTGAAATTTTAGCTTATTTAACTATTGAGACATTCCTTGATTCATGTGAGTTTTAAATAACACAACTGTTATGTGAAATTCCAGTGTTGTTTTTTTTTATCTAATTAGTATTAAATTGCTTGATTAAGATTTTACAACGAACATGTACCGGACCAAAAAAAAGGCTCTCTGGTGAACATTGCGGCAAGTTTGCCGCAAACATTGCGGTGAGTTTGCGGTAAACTGCTTTCAGCAATTATTTACCATGCAAATGAGGTTTGCGGCAAATTTGCCGCAACTAATGAGGTTAGCGGCAAATTTGCCGCAAACTATAGGGGCGGTAGCTTCTGTTTGCGGCAAATTTACTGCAAACCTCATTTGCATGGTAAAAGTTTGCAGATGTTCGCCAAAAGTTTGCGGCAAATTTGCAGCAAACTTCATTTGCATAGTAAGTTTGCGGAGGTTCGCCAGAAGCTTTTGGTAACACTGCGGCAAACTTCATTTGCATATTTGCCAGTTTCAGCAAATATGTTCTGGCGATATTTTGGCGAACATTTTGGTAAAGTTCTGGCGAACAATTTTTTTCAAACATTGGAATAATTAAAACTAGCTGAATTATAAGAAAACAAATACATATTGGTTTAACACATTTTTTCAATAGAAAATAAAAGAAATATTACAAACATATCAGTAGAATAAAATGAAATTTGATAAATTTGTAAAATAAAGAAATTAATTCCCCAGTTAAAAAAAGAGATAAATTTTACACACATTTTATTAGCAACTGATTCTATACATATTTGACTTTCATAAATTTCCACTCTTTAGTTATGATGCTATCATGAATTGTTCATATTACTTAATAATCAATTAAAACAAGAGCCTATTGAACCGGGGTGATCCTCCCCGACTAGGATTTGGACACAGAAAAGTATATCTTTTGAAGTTTCAGGGTTATGTCCCAGACAAAGTTCAAAGTCTGATAATTCCAAAATAGTTGTAAAATCCCACTTCAAATAACGACGCTATGGGCCAGACACATTTTTGCTTCAAGGTCATGCTGTGACCTTGACCTTCAAGGTAATGACCCAAATGTTGCGTGTGACATATCATCTCAATATGGTGATCATTTCGGTGAAATAGTTGTAAAATCCGACTTCAAATAACGAATTTATGGGCTGGACACCATTTTGCTTCAATGTCATGTTGCGACCTTGACCTTCAAGGTATTGACCCAAATGGTGTGTGCGACACATCGTCTCAATATGGTGATCATTTCTGTGAAATAGTTGTAAAATCCGACATCAAATAACCAAGATATTGGCCGGACACAATTTTTGTTCAAGGTCATGGTGTGACCTTGAACTTCAAGGTAGCGACCCAAATGTTGCGGGCGACACGTCGTCTCAATATGGTGATCATTTCTGTGAAATAGTTTTAAAACCAACTTGAAATAACAAAGTTATGGGCTGGACACGAATTCGGGTTCGTATGTACATACAGACAGACGGACAGACAACCCGATGACTATATGCTCCCCGAAATTTTTCGGGGAGCATAAAAACAATGTTTGACAATAGCTATTATTCAGCACATGTTGCAGTATTTCTTAGCACCAAAAATGGGAAATATAATATTGTTGTAAAAGCTAAAAATCAGAAAAGTTACAGTTTGAAATCTTCTATCTGGACAAAAAGTTTCATTCAAACATGAACTGGCATGGAATAACATACATAATTCGACATCCACTTAGACAAATCACTATTAATAACAATAAATACTAACAATAGCGTTATGTGTTATGCAAAAACAAACTAGACCAATAATGGCTTTCAAAATTGTAAAAATGAATCTCAAAAATATATTTTGGTCTTATACAAACAACATATTTCATGGACATAATACCTTCAGATTTAAACTCGTGCCATATAACATTATGATTGTGAGCAAAACAATATCTGACACGAACAATTATGACTTTCAAAATTGTTAAAATTAATCACAACAATATATTTGGGTATTATACAAACAACTAATTTCATAGACATAATTTTTTTGTTTGTTTGTTTTGGGTTTTTACGTCACATCGACACAGTATAGGTCATATCGTGACGTTCAGGTGCCCTTCCTTGCATTATTTCAGGCACGAACGGGTATCTGAGGAGAACCACCGACGTTCAGTTAAGCTAGCTCGATAGCTTCCTCACATGAAAGAATCCAAAGTCCCTGTCGGGATTCCAACCCACAGTGGTGAGGGGCAAGTGGTTTGAAGTCAATGACCTTAATCACTCGGCCACGGACGCCCCTCATAGACATAATAACTAAAGATTTAAACTAAATGTCTTTATTCATGTCATATAACGATTGCAAGCAAAACAAAAACAGACTAGAGCAATAATGGCTTTTAAAATTGTAAAAATGAATCTTAACAATATTTTTGGGTCTTATACAAATATAGACATAATTATTAAAGATTAAAACTAAATGTCTTTAGTCATGTCATATAACGATTGCAAGCAAAACAAAAACTGACTAGAACAATAATGGCTTTCAAATGTGTAAAAATGAATCTTAACAATATATTTGGGTCTTATACAAACATAAACATAATAACTGAAGAATAAAACTAAATGTCTTTAGTCATGTCATATAACAATTGCAAGCAAAACAAAAACTGACTAGACAATATTGTAAGTTTGCATGAAATTGGCTTGGCAATTTATGAGATGTTGTTTAAAGATCAAGTTTACGGAGGAATGATAGACAAAAGCTCGCAATGTCACTTTGTAAGCTAAAAACGCACTACTTTACTCTTTCACTCTTCCAAGTTTCAGTGCCCTGGCCATTGTGTGTATTTTGGTGTTGACTGCTTTGGTGACTAAGCTACTCTCCATATTTAGTTTATTGATGCAGTACACTGAAAAAAAGAAGGTTTATTTTTCATTTACATGTTACCATGTTTATACTGAATAAAACTAGAACTATCACTGAAGGTGAATTATACCCCAAAACCCCACCTTGAAATAAAGTGGCAGTATTAGTAAAGCCCACCTACAAATGAAGAAAATAAACACCAAAGGCAATTATTATTTATTGGTCAATACACTGGTGCTGGCTTGATTTTGATCTGTTGGGATGAACATGTATTTGCATTGCAAAACCTAGATTTATTTACAAATGACAAGTGGCTCATATATTATAAGTTTATCTAACTTAGTTAAGAAATCAAGGTATTATGTTAAAAACACACCAAAATAACAAACAAGAGCGATCAGTGATCACATGTGTCGCCTCATGATGGCCAATTTCATGTTGGGACAAGTTTTGTGACAGTAGGACAGACAGACAGACAGTGCACAACTAGACTTGGTACTGATCATTCCTTTAAAGTTTGGATGAAATTGCACCAGTAGTTTTTGAGGAGTAGTCCGGACAAGTTTTGTGACGGACAGACAGACAGACAGACGACGGAGAAATAATCCCTATATGTCGCCACTACTCCGTAGAGGCGACACAAAAATGATGCATGCTGTGAACATGACAGCCAGGTCAGAGCTCAAAGTTAAAACCAGGGTCATTCAAATAACCATTAGGATTTTTCTTCTAAATGCCACTGTTTGAAAGAACAATGTTGACTAACCAGTCTTACTTGTATGCAAAACTCACTTTTTCAATTATACATCAATAACAGTGGTTAAAATATACACAGATACTTTTCTGACAAATTCTAAATCATTACTGACATGATAACTGAGAAAAACTAGAAATGTGTCAATAGGACACGGATGCCCCCACAAGCCACTGTTCTGTCAATCTTATGACTCTAGGTCAAATAGTTTTTGGACTACATGTGCCACAAGTTGAAAACTTAAAATCAACAAAGGGCCATAATTCTGATAAATTTGGTTGCAGCAAAAATTCCTTTATTACCATCTACACATTAAGTTTGTTAATCCCTGGAAGTTTAAGTAAAATCTGCCATCCGGTTAAAGAGGAGTTGCGTTCACAAAATTTCTACATAGTATATAGTGAAAATATCAACAAAGGGCCATAATTCTGTTAAATTTGGTTGCAGCAAATATTCCTTCCTTTACTACCATCTACACATTAAGGTTGTTCATCTCTGGAAGTTTAAGCAAAATCTGCCATCCGGTTTAAGAGGAGTTGCTTTCACAAAATTTCTACATAGTATATAGTAAAAAATCAACAAAGGGCCATAATTCTGTTAAATTTGGTCGCAGCGAAAATTCTTTCCTTAACTACCATCTACACATTAAGGTTGTTCATCCCTGTAAGTTTAAGCAAAATCTGCCGTCCGGTTTAAGAGGAGTTGCGTTCACAAGATTTTGGGACGAACTGACAAGTGCAACGTTATGCTCCCACATTGTGGGGGCATAAAAATAATCTTATTTTACTTACATGTTAAACTGTCAAATCCTCTTTTGTGCCAGTATCTACTGAATTGGACATACCACTGCTGGTTTTACAGGGAAATTTCGGGGAAAGTCTTAATCTGCTGTGAGGTTTTTCAAGATGTGGACCACTTCTGATTTGTTTTCAACCTTTGACTGTCTGTGAGAACTGTAATTGTAAAAATATTTCAAAAATATTTTCTGTAATTTAAAATTCATCTTTAAACGTAATATTGACAAATATTGAGAAACTACACCAATGAATTGACAATAACTTATTTATAATTAATGTAACACAATATTCATACTAGAATTAGTTTTGTTAATTATTATTATATTAATGCTGATTGCACGACTTTTTCCTGACCAATTTTAGTAATCACTTTTATGAAATAATTCGGACTGCATATCGATTATTCATCACATGAAGACACATCAAATTGTTTCTATTGAAGACGACCCCAAATAGCATTACAAAATTATCACAGTATTATCATTTAATTGCTACACCATGATTATAAATATATATAAAAAAACCTCATAGATTTCAACTTACAGTTTAATAGCAATTTTTGTTTGATGTATTGTTGAGGATTGTTCATCACAATTGTATAAATCTGACCATTCACTGTCATTTGTAACTGTAGCATCTGACTGAAGAATAGACCTTGAATAAAAAAAAATACATATGTACAAACAGTATATGGAGAGATATTCATATATTGAAGCAACACAAACAGTTCAACAACACCAGTCAGTTTTGCATAGTCCTTTACTTTCGTAAATAAACAAAATACAGAAAACAAACTACCAGTACTCACTTTAGTGCTGGCGAGGCATCTGGCAAAGGACATCCTCCAAGATCTTGTCAATAAGATCTTCCATGATGTTGTGTTCTGATACCATTGATTCTTCATGATGCACATCCCTTAAAAAGAATGCATGTATTTAATAAGAATTTTAGTCTTAAACCAATGAAGGTAAAATATGATAAACAAGATCAACAAGGAAAGGCGACGTTCAATGAACGCAACCCCCATATGACCCAGCAACAAGTACCAATGGCAAGGAGCCCAGGCGGACCCAGTTTGTCATGTAGAAATAAATACTTTTTTTTAAAAAACAATTACACATTCATGTTATTTTGAAAAAAGAAATATGTACATGAATATAGAGTAACATGCAAAAACAACAAAGCCATTGTTTAAAAATTCTTTTCTCATATATATATATGGATTGTATAATATTCTTTGGTTCCCTAAACCACGAGTATACCAGCAATATAGGATTATACCATGATAAGCTGCATAGACATAATAATTACAAAATAATTTTTCAAATTCTTCCAATTCAATTACATGTTATTTCGAAAATATCATTGTAAATGTGTCTTACTCAATTTCCTTGATCTTTCGCAGCAGATTCTGTCGACATAGACAGATAGAAGCCACTGTCTCAATGATATTTCCAACACGTCTCTCCATTTCTTTTCATGTTTTTATTTCCAATTGTTGGTATATTGAGTGTTGACAACAAATTGTTGACCCTCCCCTCACCGGCCCACCTACACTATCAATCATTGCTGTAAGAAAATTAAAAGAAACAAATTATTTCATTTAAGTATACAAATATTTTGTCAAGAAAAACTTCACATGTACTGTAATTTACATAACCGTGATAATAACACATTGCATAAATTTATATAGAGCTATTTTTAGCTGCCTCATGTACATTGTATACATGTTGAATATTACTGTGACTGTGGGTATTCATTGGCAGCCTAGTGTAAACTGTGTCTTTTATATAATGTACATGTAGGATTCTGTAATGTCTTAATAAAAATTGCATTGTTGCAAGATTTAATTTAGCAACGTTTTATCATTTTTTTTTTCAAATTTCTCAGTGACTTTGGGGAAATTAAAACAGTTCAGAGGGAAGTTTATAAAAAATTTCACAATAGGAAGTGGCTAGCTGTACAGGCCCGTACGGCTAGCCAAAAGTTCTAGCCGTACGTGAGTCATGTACGACTAGCCAGGACACACTGTATTGGCTAGCCGTACGGCACTTTTCAAAATTAAATGGAGTACGTGAGTCACATACGGCTAGAACTTTTGGCTAGCCGTACGGGCCCGTACGGCTAGCCACTTCCTTCACAATAAGGATTAGTGTTTTACAGCTCAACACAAACAAGATACATGTATTCTGTATAATAAATTAATTATTTATAAATCTGAAACATAAATTTGGTCCGCATAATTTTACATCATTGGAAGACAAGTAGATAAACACTGATAAATGTATATTCATTTTGGTTAGCTTAAGGTCTTCAGCGTACCCGTTTATATACTATGACATGACATGAATGCTGAAGATAACCCCGTAGGGAAAGTCCACCAATAATCGTGCCAGGAATCTGACACGCTCGTATTTATTCATCGAACATGCCATGAAGTAAAGTGAAGCATACCTTGATAAAACTATATATAATCTGTTGATAATCTGTTGTTAATCTAAAGTATGATGCAATACATTAATCGCTTACCTGGTCCTAATTTTGTGTTGACAACGAAACATGGCATTCCAACTTTCCCAGGTCTTCAATCTACTACTACTAGAGTCTGTGTTTTTCCATAGGGAACACAATTCACATGACCGCATAATTTCTGTGTTTCGACATTTCACATACAAATATCCAGACACACCCTGTTTAAATTCTCCTAACATGTTGTCAAAAGTTAATGGTAGCCTACTGGTCCAAGTCTACATTTTTTACAAAATCTTAGGGTTGACCGTAACACGCCAAACTCAAGTCTCAACGATTCTTCTTCCCTTTTTCCAACCCTCATTATCAACCGATTTAGGAAGAGTTGATGTTTTGTAGAGCTGGTTTGGTTGACCCGTAATACTGGTTACCTGCACTATAGTTATGTTCTATAATTAAGTCGCAAGACTTGGGTTTTCTGCATCTTTTTACACTTTTTTGAATCGACCGAGCGTATCACGCCTGTAAGACGCCATGTTAGTTATCTACGGAAATTACGTCATTTTCTTGGGGAATACTACCACGTGACCGGGGATATCCGCTATTATTAGAATTCCGACTTTATACGTAAACAAACGAAGTTCGTTACGATAAATCGCGAGATATGGCGGTAATTGTCGAAGATTGCCGATTTCATTATGGGTCTTCTACCTTATAATTTTTTAACTGTTATTGTGAACTACAATACCCTCCATGATACATATGATGTTTCAATTTGATAACTCTTAGGCAAAAAATAAAAATATGTTTGTTTCCACTTCCCGACCCATTAAAATAGGGTTGGGTAGGTAGGTAGGTAGGTAGGTAGGTTATATATAGGTAGGTACATGAAGGACTTTTTTTATATGTGCATAATAATATAATTCCTTGGCAAAATAGTTATTTACTGAACAAAGTTGATTAACTTTCAGAACTGATGTGTTTGTGGCGATTATCTGGCAAACTTGTTTTTATAGAAAAGTTTCTGGTGAACTTTCAGTGAATTTTTTTTTCATAGAAAGATTCTGGCAATCTCTGGCAAATTAGTTTTCCACTGAAAGTTTCTGGCAAACTTTTGGCGAACTACTTAATATTCTGGTGAATTTGCCGCAAAGTCGCCAAATGTTTGCTACAGAGTTGCCACTAGTGGCGATATCTGGCAAACTCTTGACACAGTGTTTCGGCGAACTAAAAGGTTTGCAGCGAATTTGCGGCAAAGTTGCGGCGAGTTTACGGCAAACCTTTCCTTTTGGTACGGGTACGTATAAGTACTGGAAGTTCAAAGAGTTAAATGAATAACGCACTCTCCAGGTAAACACACTCGACCACATTGAAAATTGAATATCGAACATAAAAAACTATACCATATGTAGATTTAATTCATATGAAGATTTAATCCAGGAAACGTAAAGTTAATAAATTTTGGCGGGGTGCCGCATCTATTAAGTGAATTTAGCACGACTGTTTTATAGTGCAATTCTTACGCCTTATATTTGCATTTAAACTACAATCCTGAATATGTTTCAAGTAGATGTTTCATCTAAAATACAATAACAAGTTTTATCAGAACCAAAAACATAGTTTTCAAGGAATTCATTATATTTATTCTGTGAGACAATTCTAACGTTAAGGAGGTAGTAATGTCTCAAGGAGATTTATAGTTATGGGGTACAGAATTATTTACAGAAGTAATGTAAGTGACGGTTCAAACCTGCGGGAATTTTAAATAATTTAGATCGATGTACAAGTACTGTGTTTTGTTTGGAATTGTTGATGCATTTTTAGCTCGACTATTCGTAGAATAATCGAGCTAATGCAGTCACCCATTTGTCGGCGTCGGCGTCCCTGTGGTTAAGTTTTTGTATGTAAGCTGGTATCTCCATAACTACTGAAGGGAATGGATTGAAACTTCACACACTTGTTCTATGTAATTATCTAAGATGATTGGCACAAGTCCCATAACTCTGATTTGCATTTTGACATAATTATGCCCCTTTTTCGACTTAGAAATTCTTGGTTAAGTTTTTGTATGTAAGCTGGTATCTCCATAACTACTGAAGGGAATGGATTGAAACTTCACACACTTGTTCTCTGTGATTATCTAAGATGATTGGCACAAGTCCCATAACTCTGATTTGCTTTTTTACATAATTATGCCCCTTTTTCGACTTAGAAATTCTTGGTTAAGTTTTTGTATGTAAGCTGGTATCTCCATAACTACTGAAGGGAATGGATTGAAACTTCAAACACTTGTTCTCTGTGATTATCTAAGATGATTGGCACAAGTCCCATAACTCTGATTTGCTTTTTTACATAAGTATGCCCCTTTTTCGACTTAGAAATTCTTGGTTAAGTTTTTGTATGTAAGCTGGTATCTCCATAACTACTGAAGGGAATGGATTGAAACTTCACACACTTGTTCTCTGTGATTATCTTAGATGATTGGCACAAGTCCCATAACTCTGATTTGCTTTTTTACATAATTATGCCCCTTTTTGGACTTAGAAATTCTTGGTTAAGTTTTTGCGTGTAAGCTGGTATCTCCATAACTACTAAAGGGAATGGATTGAAACTTCACACACTTGTTCTCTGCGATTATCTTAGATGATTGGCACAAGTCCCATAACTCTGATTTGCTTTTTTACATAAGAATGCCCCTTTTTCGACTCAGAAATTCGTGGTTAAGTTTCTGTATGTAAGCTAGTATCTCCATAACTACTGAAGGGAATGGATTGAAACTTCACACACTTGTTCTCTGTGATTATCTAAGATGATTGGCACAAGTCCCATAACTCTGATTTGCTTTTTTACATAATTATGCCCCTTTTTCGACTTAGAAATTCTTGGTTAAGTTTTTGTATGTAAGCTGGTATCTCCATAACTACTGAAGGGAATGGATTGAAACTTCAAACACTTGTTCTCTGTGATTATCTAAGATGATTGGCACAAGTCCCATAACTCTGATTTGCATTTTGACATAATTATGCCCCTTTTTCGACTTAGAAATTCTTGGTTAAGTTTTTGTATGTAAGCTGGTATCTCCATAACTACTGAAGGGAATGGATTGAAACTTCACACACTTGTTCTCTGTGATTATCTAAGATGATTGGCACAAGTCCCATAACTCTGATTTGCTTTTTTACATAATTATGCCCCTTTTTCGACTTAGAAATTCTTGGTTAAGTTTTTGTATGTAAGCTGGTATCTCCATAACTACTGAAGGGAATGGATTGAAACTTCAAACACTTGTTCTCTGTGATTATCTAAGATGATTGGCACAAGTCCCATAACTCTGATTTGCTTTTTTACATAAGTATGCCCCTTTTTCGACTTAGAAATTCTTGGTTAAGTTTTTGTATGTAAGCTGGTATCTCCATAACTACTGAAGGGAATGGATTGAAACTTCACACACTTGTTCTCTGTGATTATCTTAGATGATTGGCACAAGTCCCATAACTCTGATTTGCTTTTTTACATAATTATGCCCCTTTTTGGACTTAGAAATTCTTGGTTAAGTTTTTGCGTGTAAGCTGGTATCTCCATAACTACTAAAGGGAATGGATTGAAACTTCACACACTTGTTCTCTGCGATTATCTTAGATGATTGGCACAAGTCCCATAACTCTGATTTGCTTTTTTACATAAGAATGCCCCTTTTTCGACTCAGAAATTCGTGGTTAAGTTTCTGTATGTAAGCTAGTATCTCCATAACTACTGAAGGGAATGGATTGAAACTTCACACACTTGTTCTCTGTGATTATCTAAGATGATTGGCACAAGTCCCATAACTCTGATTTGCTTTTTTACATAATTATGCCCCTTTTTCGACTTAGAAATTCTTGGTTAAGTTTTTGTATGTAAGCTGGTATCTCCATAACTACTGAAGGGAATGGATTGAAACTTCAAACACTTGTTCTCTGTGATTATCTAAGATGATTGGCACAAGTCCCATAACTCTGATTTGCTTTTTTACATAAGTATGCCCCTTTTTCGACTTAGAAATTCTTGGTTAAGTTTTTGTATGTAAGCTGGTATCTCCATAACTACTGAAGGGAATGGATTGAAACTTCACACACTTGTTCTCTGTGATTATCTTAGATGATTGGCACAAGTCCCATAACTCTGATTTGCTTTTTTACATAATTATGCCCCTTTTTGGACTTAGAAATTCTTGGTTAAGTTTTTGCGTGTAAGCTGGTATCTCCATAACTTCTAAAGGGAATTGATTGAAACTTCACACACTTGTTCTCTGCGATTATCTTAGATGATTGGCACAAGTCCCATAACTCTGATTTGCTTTTTTACATAAGAATGCCCCTTTTTCGACTCAGAAATTCGTGGTTAAGTTTTTGTATGTAAGCTAGTATCTCCATAACTACTGAAGGGAATGGATTGAAACTTCACACACTTGGTCTCTGTGATTATCTAAGATGATTGGCACAAGTCCCATAACTCTTATTGCTTTTACATAATTATGCCCCTTGTTCGACTTAGAAATTCTTGGTTAAGTTTTTGCGTGTAAGCTGGTATCTCCATAACTACTGAAGGGAATGGATTGAAACTTCACACACTTGGTCTCTGTGATTATCTAAGATGATTGGCACAAGTGCCATAACTCTGATTTGCTTTTTTGCATAATTATGCCCCTTTTTTATCTTAGAAATTCTTGGTTAAGTTTTTGCGTGTTAGCTGGTATCTCCATAACTACTGAAGGGAATGGATTGAAACTTCACACACTTGGTCTCTGTGATTATTTAAGATGATTGGCACAAGTCCCATAACTCTGATTTACTTTTTCGCATAATTATTCCCCTTTTTCGATTCATAAATTTGTGGTTAAGTTTTTGTGTGTAAGCTGGTTTCTCCATAACTACTGAAGGAAATGGATTGAAACTTCACACACTTGTTCTCTGTGATTGTATTGAAACTTGAAGGGTTTGTACCTTTTCATACAATTTTACGTATTCATATAGGTAAACATTATTATACTCAATGAAACACCCTTGTGACAAATTTTCGAATAGTCGAGCGTTACTGTCCTCCGACAGTTCTTGTTGAAATATTAAATTTCTTCCTGTATATTAAGGTGTAAGCCTCTTCTCTTATATACAGCATGATAAATAAAAAGGCTTAAATACTTCACGATTCAACAGTCCATTTCAACGCTAAATTTGCTAACTAAGAAACGCCGCTACAACCACACTTCTAACATAAATTCATCAACTTTACGTTCCGTTGAATCTTTTATCAAATATACATGCTAGAACATTCTCGATTTTCGATACTCATTACAGAGTTTTCAAAAATATATATAAGTAGACAACACAATACCTTTGTTTACACTAACAATTGGGGGACATATAAGAGGTAGCTCTGTTGTTTACCAGTCGTGTTGTTACAGCTACGATTAGCACTTGACTTTTGTTGTTGTGAAGTACAAAATATGAAAAGAAGAGTTCTCTCGGAATCATATCATATAAACTAGAAATGTGTCGTCACGCCACGGATACCCCCACATGCAACCAAAATTTCAGATGTTTTAATATTTAGTTCCAAATTTGTTTGCACAAATTATTTTTTTCAATTTAAGTTCAAAGACCTTAAAACCATTCAATGTTAACACAAACCATTTTTATACAAAGTTCAAGGCACTGAAACTATTCAGTGTTAACCTTTTGTAAATTGCATATTGCATATTTGTAGCCAAAATAATGGCTACATACATTTCCACAAAAGTATGAGTGCTGAAACTGAAAATTCAAGAAAGATAACTTTGCTCAAAATCATTGAACCACGACCATATTGAAACTTGAACTGATTATTCCTAAGATGTATCTATATGTCAAATTTGAGTTGAATTTGTACAACCATTGGGGAGATAATGAGCGGAAACTTAAAATTTTTTGTTCAAAGTTCAAGAGGGATAACTCTGTCAGCTATCATCAAACCATGACCAAATTTGAAATTGACCAATGCATTCTTATGACATATCCATATCTTTAATTTGAGTTGAATATGTACAACTGTAGGGGAGATATTGAATGTGTACTGAAAATTTCCCTTTTCCTAAGTTAAAGGGGCATAACTCTGCCAAAAATCATCAAACCATAACAAAATTCGAAGCTGACCTGCGCTTTTCTTTGACATATATTTATATGTCAAATTTGATTTGAATGTGTAATACCCTAGATGAGATAATGAACGGAAACTGAAAATTTCATATTATTTTCAAAGTGAAAGGGGCATTACTCT